ACAGGGAAGGGAATAGCAAAGAGAAGGGAGGCAGGAGGTAGGTGTTTGGGCTGTGTGATGGTGGATCGGCCCATGGTGAGCATGGGGATGGAGGGGGAAGCATAAGGGGAAGAAAAGGGTTGGAAATAAGTGCATGGACCCTCAGTGGGCAATGGCTGAGGATAGAGGGGGAAGTGTGAAACGCAGTGAGATGCCGGTGCACTTGGTAGACATGGAAGTGCTCGAGTCCTCCACCAGCTTGGCTGCTTGATCTCCATCCTGTGCTCTGCTCACAGTGTGCACGTCACTGGGGTGGTGAGGAGGAGTCCTCAACCCTGGAGACTGTTTGGTAGGCTTGTTATCTCCAAACCACAGTGACTGTGTCCTGAGCCTGTGGAAGAGATCCCATTAAACCTATCAGGCGGAGGCTTTCTGCCTCCCAGATAAGGCACACAAGGGTTGATAAGCAAACGCTGACTGTCTCCTAAAGCAACCCTTTTCCTATCTGCTTCCTGACATGAGCCCTGCTTCCCTTGGGGCCCACCTCCTACCCTTTGCTTTGATGGCTTTCAACTGGTCTACCTTGGCCCCAAATCAAGATTCACCTCTGCTCCTCACCCCTCTTTGCCAATGGCTCTCCCCCACGGGAGTGCTGCGGAACCACAGGGATAATGCAGATGTTTGGCCTATGGTGAAATTGCAGCCCTAGGGGGGCAATTCCTTCCTCCCAGTGACCAAGCTGTGCCCTGAGGCAAGAGAATGGAGCCCCTGTAGAGAAACCGATGCAGCCAAATGTTCTCATTGTCCTCAAATATGTGGGCATCGCTGGTGGTGATGAGGCTGGTGAGGAGCATGGAGGACCAGTTACACCGGTTTCCTCCTTTATCCCTACTTATTCCCTTCCCTTCCTCTGTTTTTGTCCTCCCGTGTCATAAACTCGGTTGGGAAGAGCCCTGGCTCCCTGCGTGGGGGATGCAGCCGCCCTGCAGTGCTCACTGAATGACCAGCACCAAGCTGAATTCGACCTTGGCTGGGATGAGCGGTTGCCTCTCTTCGTGTAACCCACGGCACCCCACAGCCTCGGCTTGAAGCTTGGTGCAAGCACATTATAACCGCTTGCCTTTGGGCACTTGTTGCTCATCCTGTTGTGCATGCAAGAACTGCAACGACCACAAGAAGAAGAAGAAAAGAGACTTTTCCTATTGAGCCAAAGGTTCTTGGCCGGGCTTTCCATTCGTCAGCAAAAGCTCTTGCACTTTGTGATGCCTTCCAGTGAAACGCAGACCTTGTCCCTTCTGCAGGCTCCTCTGTGAAGGTAGCAGAAAGCGACTGCCATCCATGAAGGGCTCCTTGTCTTCCTCTCGAATCTCCCCTTTCCCCTGCCTGCCCTTGGCTCCTGTTGGGCTTCGCTCGGCCAATGTGCAAACACGCGGGCTCTGCCAAGCCCTTAACGCTGCCGTGAGATGGAAATGCACATCCAGACACCACGTCCCCTTAAAGCAGTTGTGCTTGGGAGGGGTTGTCCCCGCTCCGGTGGCAGGTTTGACCACATCCCATCCCAAGAGGTATGCTTGAAATCTGCTGACAAAGAGGCTGTCTGTGGCACTTTGTTCCCCTTTTAACTTTACTACGCTACGGCTTGGCCTTTAACCGCCTGAAGCAGCATCTTTTCCTTGGTGGAAGCGCTGATTCCGCAGTCTTTATCGGGATTTGGGCCTTATCGGCTGCTGGGGAGCTTGATCTGGTCGTGGCTTTGTGCTGTGCTTGGGATTAAGGGGCTGGAGGCTTGGCTTTGAGATGTTTGAAAGAAAAAGCAATCTTGAACCTGCTCACACAGAGCAGAGATAAGGAGCTGCTTGAACAGAGGACCTTCCTCTGAGCCAGGGCTGCAGCAAACCCAAGGGATGATAAGCTAATTCACTCACAGCAGGGCAGTGTGCCTGACCGTGGGCATAGGTGCTGCCTTACGGCTCTTCGCTGTTATGTACGTGCTCTGTGGCGGAGAGCTCGAGGTCTGAAGGTCCCTTCCAAGCTGTCAAGATGCAGGGGCAGGCTGTGCCTGTGGCCCTGTCAACAGGAAGAGAGTGAAGGCGGTAGATGCTCCTTGCGCAGGAAACACGCTGCGTTGAGCAGCAGCTTTCGGTGCTCTTGAAGCTGCAAAACGAAACCACAGCTGGGGAGAGAAGGGGAGTTTAACCGAGTTCAGCTCTGTTATAGAGGCTTTCACCCGAGTGCAAAGAGAGGGGCATTCTGGAGGTGCCGGGCAGGGAAGGGCACCCCAACGCATCTCGTATAAAGCAAGAACATCTCCTCCCAGTTCCCAGAAGTATGACACCATCCTGAGAGGGGAAAACATGTTCCTATGTGGGCAGGCTGCTGTCTGCACACGTCCTTCCCTGGGACTTCATTTCAACCAATGCTCCCAGTCTGTTTGGCCCTGGTTTATTTCTCTGCCCCCTTTAACAGTCAAAGGGGAGGGTTGTGGCTGTGCCCCACGGCCCCGTTGGGTGGCTGGGGGGGTCCTCCCTGCTTGTTTCGGTGTGATCCATGAGACAAGGAGGCAGTGTTGGAAAGAGCCGGGCGCATTCCTCTGCTGTGCGCTTGGGATTGGAAGAGGTCGGTAAAGAGCAGTTAATGATTGACCCTCTTGTGGAACCTACAGCACTTCATTTGGGGAGAAAGGGTGACTTTAAATGTTCCAGTAAGAGGCTGAACAAATCCCAGCGCCGAGCTTGACATAAAAGATTACCAAGGCAGCCGGAGCTGTCATTCTTTAAATAGCAACTTGAACTACTAATTGGGCAGTAGAAATCCTGCTGCTTGGTGTGTGTGTGTGGGGGGAAGCGGTGTAAAACCAGCCAGGATGTTCTTGTAATTGCCAATAAAGACTTGGAGCTGCTTCCAGCTTCGGGCAGCCAGCAGTGAGCACGCATGGGTGGCTCTGCTGCGTGGCAGCCCCGGCACCAGTGCGCGCAGGTGGACTTGGCAAGAGGCTTTGGGGATGGCATCGCTGTCAGTGCGGTGACAGCCCTTCCCCGAGGCGCTGGTGCGGATGGAGCCGGGCACGTAGGAGGCTTTTCCCTAGGAGCGCACTGATCCGGAGCGGTGATTGCGGGGAAGTGCTGTTTGCTGTGCGTTAGGGAGGTGAGCAGTTAGGCAGGTTCTCTGCCCATTCATCTCCTCCTAGGTGCATGCCGTGTGCCGCTGAGCCGCCGGCGCGTGAAGCCTGCGCTCCGCAGTGAGGTGGCTCTTGGCTGGACCCGGTGCGTGCTCCCGCAGCCCCTCCGATGTGTTTCTATTTGTGGCGATGGATCAAGGGGTGTCAGGGTGCCAAGGGCTGCTTGAATCGGTTCCATTGCATCTCACTGGATCTTCCCTTGTTGCTCAGGGGCTGCTTCTATTCTCACAAGCCATTTGTACTTCCACACAGCGCAGTGGCCTGGCCCCTCCTCGGAGCTGGCTGTGAACAAGGTGCTTGGTACAAGCAGGGGCTGCAGTCCGGGGGCCCTGTTCCCAGTTTTCCTGGCTGCAGGAAGCCTTTAGGAAGGTCTGAGTCCCCCCTCAGTGTGTCCTCTTTGCCTCCTGGTGCTGCTGCTCATCGTGCATGCCACGGGAGGGTCTGCAGCAGGAGGATGCTATGGGAGCTCCTTGGGGTCATGTTGTAACTGTAGACATCAGTGCATGAACAGGAATTCATCTGTCCAGGCTTTAAATGCTGACTGCTTCTGCTCTGAGGTCTCTATGGGGAGGGCTGACGGGCTCCTTAACACACACAGCCAGAAGCTAAAGGTCATTGCACTGTCCACATCCCTCCATCCTCCTCGCACTCCGCAGCTGAGCTGAGTGCTGACACAGGGAAACCACAACTCCTTTGTCACTGTTTCACCCCAGCTCCTTGTTTTCCCAAGTTTAACCTCTCTCCCACATCTGTTTCCTATGGGTTTTACCTTCGTGGGGAGCCCAAGCAGCCTGGATGCTGTGGGCGAAGCTGTGTGCCTGTGCTTGCCTCGTGGAGAGGGGTGTTTAATCACAAGTTGGTGTTTAAGATCCTGAGCAGCACCAAGAGGAGATTGTGAGGGAAAGCTGGATGAAACGGATGGAGACGTAGTGGGAAAGCTGCAGAGAGCCTCCCATGTCTGCCCAGGGCTGATCAGTGAGGATGTGAGGTGGGAACCTCAGGCTGGAGCTCTGGGATGCTGAGGGAACACGTGGGATATCTGTTGCTTACTCTGGACAGGGCAAGGGAATCGTGGAATGGTTTGGGCTGGATAGGACCTGAAAGCTCATCCCGTTCCAAGCCCTTGCAGAGGCAGGGACACCTTCCACTAGAGCAGCTTGCTCCAAGCCATGTCAATGGAGAGAAGTGCCACGTGCCTTCCCTGCAGTGCTGGGAGGGGACAGAGGGAGGTTTGCAGGACAGCCTCCAATTCCTGCTAATCCCTGACGAAGGAAGGTGGAGCGGGGATTGTTTGCAATGGACACAAAGCTGGGAGGGTTCTTTGGAGCAGCTGGGAGAGCCAAGGTGGAACCAGTGACGTGTGATGCCAAGGATGGGGTAGAAGGGAAGGAGGAGCGGATGGGGCTGTGTGATCTCAATGGGGGGGGCATGAGCAGCCAAGGGGATCTCCTCCACAGATGCACCAAGCAGTGAACATGAAGCCACTTGTACGTGGGGGATTCCTACTTAGTTAACACTAACCAGGGCTCACTGGGATTCTCTGGTGCTGCTCCGTGTGGATGTAAGCGACTTCTCTCTGTTCCTCCTTTAATACTGAACTCCATCTGATCCATTATTAAATAGGGAGCAGTTTTACGTTGCTGGCTTGTGGCAGCGGTAGGAAAGCAAGTGCTTTGTCATAGCAGCCCAGGTTCCAAAGGCAGATAAGCACTGGGAGGAGGAGAGGTGGAGTGCAATGGGCTTAATGAAAGCCTAAAGGCGCCTGTGCCGGCGTGGGGTTGTAAAGCACCTCGGGACAGGCTTGTAACAGGAGCGGAGCTAACAGGAGGCACTAAAAGTGCTGCTGCAGAGAAAAGGGAACTTGTGCTTTCTTCCTCTGTTTTTCAACTGTCCCGTCCCTGCCTCTGTTACACAACGTGGCTCTGTTCAGCGTGGGAGCTTGCGGAGTTCCTCATGGGAGGGCAAGAGCTGAAAGCTGGAGATGGAGTTGATCCGTATGGCCCAAACCCACTGGGAAAGGATGGGAAATGGGGCAGAAGTTAAAGATGCCTCAGTCGTGTGGCGAACAGAAGGCAGGTGAGCTGCCAGCCCTCCTGGGAGCAGGGTATGAAAGCCAGGAAGGAGGTTTCGGAGCCAGAGCAGTCGGGAAGCAGGGTGGCTGCTGCAAAGCCATCCCTCATCCCCGTGCCTGCAGTGAGGGTAGGAAGCTTTTCATTTGAGCAGGCTGCTGCTCTGTGCCAGGCCTTGTCAACTCCGTGTCTGGCTATATATAACTGCCTTAGCTGTGGGTATTGTGCCTGGTTTGGTTAGGGGAAGGAGCTCTGAGAACATGCTGGGTGTAGAACAGGAGGTCCTTATTTCTGTATTAGTCCCTTTGGGTTCTGGGTTTAGTCCCTGTAATTCCCAGGGCCTTGCCCTATAGCTGTTCTCATAGTGAATCTCTGTCCTTAGGTTGTCACCCTGTTGTTGCTTGGGATACATGTGCCCTGGGTACCCGTGTGTGCTTTTCCTGCTCCCAACTGGTTTCCCCTTCCCTGCTGTTCTTTCCCTTCTCCATTTCTCACCAGTTATAATGAATACAGAGCGCAAAGGGAGTATTCCCAGGGTGTTGGGGCACCTGAATACGGGGCTTTTCTTTTCCTTCCTGCATCACTGCAAGCCTCACCCTAACCCTGTAATAAGGATCCTCTGCTATCCCATGCAGCAAACACCACCAGCAGCCCTGCCCAGGAGAACAGCACGGATTCCGAGCACAAATGGCCCTCCTGCAATGCCCAGGATGAGATGCTCAACTTGGCCTTCACCATTGGGTCCTTCCTGCTCAGTGCCATCACGCTCCCGCTGGGAATTGTCATGGATAAGTATGGACCTCGCAAGCTCCGGCTGCTCGGCAGGTCGGTGTCCTGGGCTCCCCAGTGGGCTGAGGGGTGGGTGGGTGCTGTGCCTGTTGTGGGTCCCTGCATCCCGAGGGATGGGGCTGGGAGCTGCTGGCCGTGCACAGGACGCTGGATTTTGGCCGGTGCAGTGAGTTGCTCCATCAGGGAAGGGCTCAGGACTGTGTGTCCCCACTTCAGCTCTGCAGTGTTGCTCTGTGTTCCCCGGCCATATGGAGCCTGGAGGAAGAGCGGAGTCATTTGTGACTCACAGAGGGTGGCTTTTTTCCTTGAGCTGGGAGCTATGTCCTGGGAGGCACCAAACCAAGATGTTACATCACTGCTTGCAAGCCGGGGAGTTAACTTAGGGATAAACATGTCCTGCCTGTCTGCTCAAGGCCCTCTCTGCCTTGTTTTCTGCCTCGAATAGCAGAGCTGCTGGCTGTTTCCACGGTGGGGAGGGATGAGGGACTTGTTGGGCACAGTGGACCCCAGCGCTGCTGAGTCTGAGTGCACTAAAACCCTACCAGAAGCTGAGCTGGTCTGGAGGCAGAGGGGGGAGAACAGGGCAAGTCTCTGATTCACACCTTAGAATCATAGGACCAGACTGGTTTGGGTTGGAAAGGACCTTAAGATCATCCAGTTCCAGCCCCCTGCCATGGGCAGGGACACCTCACACTAAACCACCTCACCCAAGACTTCATCCAGCCTGGCCTTGCACACTGCCAGGGATGGAGCATTCACAACCTCCCTGGGCAACCCATTCCAGTGCCTCACCACCCTAACAGGAAAGAATTTCCTCCTTATATCCAACCTAAACTTCCCCTGTTTCAGTTTTAACCCTTACCAAAGAGAGCTAGTGAGTAGGCTCCGAGTGCTGTGACCACAGCTGGGTCTCAGGACCAAGGTCTTTGGTCACCTCTTTATGAGGAGTGGCAAAGCTGTGTGCTGGAAAACCAGTGGGGAATTTGGGTCCAGCAAGAGCTGCCTCAGTACTGGGAGGAGAGGCTGTTTCCTCAGTCCTTGTGCAAGGTTTGCTTGTGATATCTGGGTATTCCCTTGGGTTTTTCTTCCCTTCCTCTTACAGGACTGACTCTGTGCTTGCTTAAGGTGCTCAGGAGGTAGAAGCCTATGTGATTTACTGTGTAGAAGGCTGGCTATAGGAAACTCATGGGTTTGGTTCCCTTTCAGTGCCTGCTTTGCCGTGTCCTGTGTGCTGATCGCCTATGGAGCCAGTAACCCGGACTGTAAGTAGGAATTCCCCCTCTGAGCTGGGGGGCAATGTGGGGCTGCGGCTTTGGGGCTGTCTAGGGGGTGGAAGCAGAGGGCACACATGGCACTGCGTGCTCCCGCTGGCACATCCCCAGTGCTGCACTGGGGTCCTGCTGAGGACACGGCGAAGCATCTGCTGCCCCATGGGAGCTGAGTGGCTCTGGTGTTTCACAATGCTAAACAGAGAGTGTAGCAAGGGCCAAGTGTCTGCGATAGCCAGGCCCCTCAGCTCTGCGTCTGGGCAGGGCTGGGTCCTGTGAAAAGAGCAATTCCAAACGAGTTCATGGCTTTCTCAGGGTTGGGAAATAAGTAATAGCAATGGGTAATGGGTAATAGCGCTGTGTAATCGGCTTTCTGGCCAGGGATGCAGGGAGCCTTGGCTCCCCAGGACCAGATAGCGAGATGGCTGTTTGAATGACACTTCTTTCAAGTAAATCTTCCTTTTAAGACCCATTAAGACAAGCTGCCTCAGCAAGCGTGTTCATTAGAGAAACCAAACCCTTCCATCCTGGAGGGATGGGCCCAGCCTGAGCTCTCTCTTGGAGGAGAGCCCTGGCCCTCCTTTGCGTGCCTGGGGAGATGGTGCTGGGTCAGGGACAGTGTGGCACATCCTGAGGGCGCACTGAGGTGTTCAGGTGTCAGGACCAAAGCCCTCAGGGCTCTCCTCTTCGCCCCAGTGAAAGCTAAAGGTGGCTTTTTATTGTTGCAGCTCTGTCTGTGCTGATATTCATTGCGCTGGCTCTGAATGGCTTTGGGGGGATGTGTATGACCTTCACATCGCTTACGGTAAGTGAAGAGCTATTACCTGACTCCATTCTGTTCCTTGCTATGGCTGTGAGCTGGGCTAGCAGGAAAGAACAAAGTGGATTGCTTGCCTGTGGCTTGAATAGCATGTAATTTTGTCTGGTACAAAGGGTCAGTCCCTCCTATCTGTGAGGCTGAGTGGTTATTCTGAGGCTTCTTTTTCACCCAGTCCTCCTCTTTTACCTTGCATCTCAGGTGAAGGCATGGGGAAAGAAAAGGAAGTGCTGTTATCCATTGTCACGTACCTCTACATGCAGTGCTCAGCCACCTGGCACAGCCTGGACATGTGTTTGCACTGGATTTGGCATTGACACGCTGCAGGAAGGCTCAGCAGGGCACAACCCCTTGCAGCTGGGTGCAGGCAGCTTTCTGCAAGCACAGTTTGCATCTCAGCCCAGGGAAATGGTTGTTCTTGAGCACAAAAGCTTTTGCTCTCAAGCAGGGTGAGATTCCCTTCCAGGTTTCCTTAGAAATGCTGCCTTGTTGAACGCACCCAGCTCCACTTGGATCCGTTTAGTCCATGGCTTGCATTGCAAACATTGGTCAACCCCTGTCAGCTGGATCTCTGTTTTGGAGCTCTTTCTGCTCAGAGACAGAGGCTTTATTGTCCTTCAAGCAGCTGCTTCATTTTCTACCTCATTACCCTGATCCTTGTCAGTGTGGATGAAACGGGGCTGGGTGGGAAGCCTCCCAAAGCACTGATGCTTCTTGAGCTGCGACTGAAACTGTTCAGATTTGGATTGCATTACCTTGAACTTGCTATGGAAGGGAAACCTTGGATTCAACAGGGCTCCCACACTGCCTGAGCTCCTGAGACCTGGGTTTGGCAGAGGCTGGGTTTACAGATCACTGTGTACTGAGGCTGCTGTTGCCTTCATAGGCTCCAAGCTTCCGAAGCTCCGTGCAGAGGTCAGGCTTTGCTCTGTATGGGTGTTCTTCACTGGAAGCCTTGGCCGTGCTCCCAAGAACTATGGGGCAAACATCATCCTGCCACGCTTCCAATGGGAGCAAGGAGAGGAGCACATCAGTGCTGCTGCAGGAGCAGAGAGGATTCCCCACCCTGCTGCTGTTGTCTCTCCGAGTGGTTATTAAAGGGTCGTGGGTTGTTTTAGAGCCACTGGTGATGAGAGGAGGAAGGGCAAGGGCTGAGATGTATTGGATGTGCTGTACTGTGGCTTTTAGCACTGGGAAAAGTAAGCAAAGCCACTCACTTATTAGCCCTGTCATTAGTGAGCCTGTTCCACAGCACTAAGGAAGTACAGCAGCAGGAAAAAGGTCACATCTTCCAAGAAGAGATGCAAGCCTTGAGGAGGTCTGGGGCAAGCAGTGATGCTCTGAGTGCCTGCAGGGAGACCTCAGGTGGAGCCCGTGCCCTCTGGACAACAGCAGTGTGTTTTGTAAAGAGGTGAGGTGGCTTCAGGCCTGGCTCCTCACATCCAGATATAGCTGCTTTTTGGTACCTGAGGCATGTGAATGTGATTATAAATAGCTTATAGTGGGAGGGGAGCACTTCTTCCCCCACATCATAACGGAGCTGTGGTGGTGGCTGTTAAATGCAAGTGTATTTTGCTCACTGTCAGCTTCCTGTTTTGTCCCTGCGTGGTTCTACCTGCGAGCTGGGATGCTCGTGGTGCCTGCAGTGATGTGGGGATCTCTTGTGGGTCCATTCCACACACGGACATGGGGATGATGCTGTACCAAGGGAAGGCTGAAGCCAACACTGAAAGAGCAGCCTCAAAGACCTTTGTAAGGTCACCTGGAGTATTGTGTGCAGTTCTGGTGTCCTCAACATAAAAAAAACATGGAACTGTTGGAACAAGCCCAGAGGAGGGCCACGAGGATGATCAGGGGCTGGAGCACCTCCTGTATGGAGACAGGCTGAGGAAGTTGGGGCTGTTCAGTCTGGAGAAGAGGAGGCTGCGTGGAGACCTCAGAGCAGCTTCCAGTATGTGAAGGGGGCCTATAGGGATGCTGGGGAGGGACTCTTCATTAGGGACTGCAGTGACAGGACAAGGGGTAACGGGTTCAAACTTAAACAGGGGAAGTTTAGATTGGATCTAAGGAGGAAATTCTTTCCTGTTAGGGTGGTGAGGCACTGGAATGGGTTGCCCAGGGAGGTTGTGAGTGCTCCATCCCAAGGCCAGGTTGGACGAAGCCTTGGGTGAGATGGTTTAGTGTGAGGTGTCCCTGCCCATGGCAGGGGGGTTGGAACTGGATGATCTTAAGGTCCTTTCCAACCCTAACTATTCTGTGATTCTATGACCTTCATTCTATGGAGGCAGCGAGCACTGAGCAGCTCGTGGTGCCAAGTGAGCTCGTTCTGGCTGCCGCAGGCACTGGCTGCCGAGCACCCACGTGCACACGGGAGTCAAAGCAAGGTGACTTCCTTCTCCTGCCTGCCACGAGTGTCCTGACGTGCTCCAGGAAACGGGACAATCCCACTGCTGAGTGAGCTGCTGCTCTGCCCCCACAGGCAGGAGTTGGGGTGCTCCCCAGGATACCGGCGTGCAGGGGCATGGTGCGATCTGATGGCAGGGCAGGAGATTCCCTAATGCCTGTAAAAGGGATAAACGGGATCTTTAAGGGATGCTGGGACAGTATTCCACTCTGTCTTTTGGGTTCAAAGCCTTCCTCAGTAACAGGTCCCCTGGCTATCATGTAAGCACACGCAGAGCCAAAGCAAGCTGCTGTTTCTGGGTACCCTGCGCTGTGTGCCTTGGGGAGGAGGGAGAGCCAGGGAGCGGCGATGTTCCTGCTTCTGGGAACAAGGTCAGGCTGTGCCTGCTGTTCAAATGCAGAGGGGAGATTTCTGCCTCGTGACTCGGTCTGAACCAATGTGAGCGAGGGTGGGAAATGGAAACGGCTCCGTGTTGGTGGCTCGGACAAGGCAGGAATCTGGTGCTGGTTCTGCTCTGAAGCTATTTCATGCGGAGAAACAAACATGTGTGATAAATTACCACAAAGAGCCTTTGGTAGATTGTTCCCTGCCCTGTTTTCCTCTCAGAGAATCACAGATGCTTTGCTCTTCACCCTTGAGTCGGAGCAGGGGAGCATCTCTGTGTAGGGAGTGTTTTCTGCTTGGAGATAGTAGGAAAACTTAGGGCTTTGTGTTCTTTTCTGTTGGAGAACGGGAACAGGAATTCCCATCTGCTTTGGACAAAGAGGGCAGCTTGAGGCTTTCCTGGAGGACATATTTTAGTGTCCAAATGTACCCCTGATAAGGAAAACAAAGCTTAGCTTGGACAAAAACACCGTTCCCTTATAGTCTAGTTCTCAACCCCTCGACTCCTTCCACTGTTCTCCCAAACAGTCCTTGCAAGAAGAGGGGAACTGGGTTTGGTAATACTGCTGTGGTATCTTGTAGAGGGGTTGTCCTCAGGCAAAAGTGGATAAAATTGCTTAAAAAAAAGAAGATTTAAGGTCTTCAACTCATTATAGGACAGATGAGAAAATAATCCGCAAGAAGGAAGTGTTTTATCAGTTTAGGATTGCGTGCCTGTAATAAGGGCATGGCAAAATGAAGTCACTGTCTTTCGGACAGGGCATGAAGTTAATAATCCATTGAGTATCATTGACCTTTAAACAGGAGGAGTTTGTGTTTCTGTCATCGTGGGGTTGGGGCGGTTGTACCAGAATGGGCAGAAGGTGGAGGAGGAGGAGGAATCCCTTCTGGCTGTGGGATAGGATCAGAATGAGGGGCAGATCCTCTTGGAGGCAGGAAAGCAAAGAGGCCCCTTGCTCTGGGGCTTGGTTTGCCCCATGCTTGCTGCTGTGAAGACAGCATGAGAACATGGCTTAGCAGATACTGTGTGTTATTTTACTAGCTGGTTTACTAGTTGTTTTTCTGCCTAGGGATGGATGACTTGTTCCTTTTGCTTCCCCTCTCCTCCTCCAGATAGGCTCAGGTTTCTTTTCCTCCCAAGTGCTCTGTGTTGGCAGTTTCCCCTTAGATTGGGTTGGATAAGACCTTAAATCTCCAATGTCCTTTTTTTTTTGTCATCTGGCTGCTTGCTTGGTGCCAAAATAGCATTTTGGGCATCTTTAGCGTTTCTAGGACTCCTGTTCTAGCACACTTGGGATTTGCTGGATAACACTGCTTGCTTTAATACCCATCTATGTCTGCAGTGACCCTCGGAGCAGGAGGATCCACCTGGGAGCTGCGTGTTAGGAAAAAGGCTTTCTGTGATCTCGAGGTGGGGGGGAACCAGCCTGAGCCAAGCAGCAGCTGTGTTTGCGGAGCTCCTGCTCCCAGCTCCCTGCTGTTTACTGTCATTGCTGGAGACTGCTTTAGGTTGGGGATGTTTGGCGTTAAATCAGTGCCCTGCCCTGGCGACAGCCACCGGCTCTTCTGTAACCTGCAGCTCTTGTGCTCTGCAGATGCTGTTTGCTGGGCTGTGTATTTAGGCCACTGCTTCCAAGAAGAGACTTTTTTTTTGGTGCCTGCTAACAGACCTTTGGATCCTTTGCCGTTTCCTGCCTGCAGCTCCTGAAAGCAGCCTGTTGGCAGCCATCCCGCATGCAGGGAGCCGGGGCTGGGTGTGGGGATGGATGCTCTCTGCAGAGCAGTGCAGTGCTTTCTGCCTCTGCTCAGGGCTCACCACCGGCATCATTGCTGCCGCTCCCTTGGCCGGGGGTTATGTGAGGACCTGGAGACTGCACTGCATAGGAAGCTCTGCGGTGAGACAGAGGGATGATAAACAGGCAGATGGATCCTCCAGTGCTCCCGCACAGGAATACTTGCGTTGTAAACACGCCGGCCCTGCCGTGACACAAGCCAGATTTGCTTGCCTTATATGCTGCTCCTGGGAAAGATGGATTTGTTTTCCAGGCGGGGAAGGGGAATGCGATGACAGCGTTTGCTTGCTCAGGCTCCATCTAATATTGTCTGGATGATTTTTGCTCAGCAGCATCTCTAAGCAGATAAAATGCTGGTTATGCCTTTAGTCCTAGAAGGCTCCCGCAGTGTCCTGCTTTGAAGGCCCTCTGAGGCTGACGTGGTAGCGATGCCCATGTGAATTTGGGGATGGAGTGACCCAAAAAAGGAGGTGGGAGGGGATTCTGCTGTCATCCTGCAGCAGAATCTCTGTGTGTTGACCAGCTTCGGGAGGTAGCAGCCAAGCTCTGAGCCTGCCACTTCAGAGCTTCTCCCTGTAATCTCCAGCTTGCAGGCTAGCATTAGTGATGGAAGCTGGTTAAATTATGGTGCTTTGGGAAAATGGGGAGGTCATCCTTTCCCAAGAGGGTGGGAAGGTCTTTGTGTCCTGTTCCACTCTGCTTTTGGGTCCTGAGTGGAAGCAGGAGCTGGAGAGCCAGCCTGGGAGTGCTTTTGGTGTTGAGGTGGCAGACTTGGATGCTGTGGGCTGCTTCTAGCCGTGCCTACAGAGAGCTTTGCTTTCCCAATAGATCCTTGCAGAACCAGCCTGGGCTGCTCTCAGCAATGCCATCATACCTGGTAGGAGCCCAGGCACTGAAGTGGGGAGGTGGCAGGAACATGAGGTGCTATTGCCTGCTGCTTGATGCAGAGTCCAGCAGCTTCCTACCTGCACCAGGCAATAAAGCCTTGGGTATTGTGTTTGTGATTGCCTTCCTGCACCTCCCTGCTAGATAGTGTGCTTGGGCATGCAGCTGATGCAGAAATAACCAGCTTGAGCCCCTCTCTACAAGAGAGCCTCCTTTCATGGAAGGAGGCAGCAACCTACCTTGAAATGGAAACTCAAACAGCAACACAGTTTGTGTTTGTCTCTGCTCCTTCTTGTTGCAACAGGAACTTTCTGGTCTACTGCAAAGCTTTGGGTGCATAAACCAACCTGGCAGCTCAACGCGTTGCAGGGTGCGTTGAAGGCTGTGCAGTGATCACAGCCCTGTGTCTAACAGCTCTTGGCCATAAAGAGGGGGATGTGTAAAAGAACCTGGCCAAGAAAGGTGGTGGTGGCTACGGGCTTGGGGTAAGGAGCTCTTAAAGAAAGCACAAGGGCAGGAGCAAACGCTCCTGTGCTAAAGGTAACTGATGCCAAGTTATGCTGCCAGTCTGGAAAGAAGCAGTGCTGTTAAGCCCATAACTCTTGGACTGTCGATATTGCCTGATGCTGCAGGCATCAATGCAACCTGAGGAGCCAAGCCATTCTGGAGTAAAACCGGCTGCTTCAGACTGTGGTATCCGGGAGCCTTAATCCTAAATGCCAATATCTTCTCAAGAAAGCCTCCTTCCCTTCCCTGTTTCAGCCCATCTTTTCCTTCCCCAGCTGCCCAACATGTTTGGTGACCTCCGTTCCACGTTCATTGCCCTGATGATTGGCTCCTATGCTTCCTCTGCTGTGACTTTTCCAGGAATCAAGGTGAGGCTGTGGGATAATGACTCGCCACCGGTGCTGTTTGCTGGCATCTTGCACCATTTAGCAATGATACGGCAAGGAAAAAGGGGCTGTTTGTTAAACCACTTGGAGGTGTGCATTTGCAAGGTTCAGTTCCCTTCTGTGTTAGAAGGTGGCCTCAAGAATGCAACAACTACTGCAAAGAGAAGGGTCTGTTAATAATAGACACTATTACTACTATTACACTACTAATAGACAGTAGTGTTTCAAAGTGGTAAATGAGTGGCAAACTGAAGATCTTTATGAAAGATTGGTTTTTTTTATGCTCTAAGGAAAGTATATATAGATGTATTTTTAATACCCGTGTGTATTTAATCTGTGTGATTGTTAATGGTGGTTGGCTTTGAACACAGAGTGAGCAAACCACACTGAAGGGACAGAGGAGATGGTCACTTGGGCTGCCTTGGTGGAGCAATAGTGGCTCTGAACCAAGGTGTTTCATTGCAGAGTTAGCATAAAGGGGATATAGTACAGGTGAGCTGTAAGTGTGCAGGGAAGTTCCAAGGAGAAATGCATGTTATTCCAGGTATAGCTGCTGTTAAAGATGTGGATACACCTCTCTTCCTAAACCTGCATGTCACAAACCTGGCTTTTGTTACTACTTGAGTTAAACCCCTTTTAAATGCAGGATGTTCTTTCCCACTCAGTCCTCATTCAAAGACTATTGAAGTATCTTCCTGCTCTTATAGCCAAAACCATGTTCCCTTATGATTTCCAGGTTATATACGACTTTGGGGTCTCCTTCATCCTCATTATGCTGGTCTGGGCAAGCTGTTCAGGATTAGTTTTCCTCAACTGCTTCTTCAACTGGCCCCTGGAGCCTTTCCCAGGACCAGAAGACATGGACTATTCGTAAGTGTCCTCTAGACTGGCCTGGAGGGCTGATCCCATTCTTAATCCTCTAGGAAGTGCTCTCGCACCTCATTTGGAGTGCTGGACAGGGAACTCCCTTGCATGTTGTTTATTGCTGCCGTTTCTTAGGCTGAGGATTTACGTCTGCCATTCGCATTATGTCTTGGCTGGTGGATGTCTGTGGGAAGGGGAGCTTCCCAAAGCATAGGAATTAAGAAGGAAAAATGATCTGTCAGTAGTCACAAGTATTTCTATATTGACCTATGCCAAACTGGCCCTGGGGAAGTAACTCTGTGCTCTGGATCCAGACCATTTGTAGGCTTGTCGATGGAAACCAGCTCATTAAATCCACGTGTAGCCTTTCATCCTGCAGCTTTAACTGCCTCTGACTCCTTGCCCTGGGTTGCAGCTCTCATGCTCTTTGCTACCTGACAGGGTGAAAATCAAGTTCAGCTGGCTGGGATTTGACCACAAAATCACTGGGAAACAGTTCTACAAGCAAGTGACAACCGTGGGGCGCCGGCTCAGCGTGGGGAGCTCCATGAAGGGCCCCAAGGAGCCGACAGCCTTGCAGGAGAACAACAAGCTCTGCCTGTCCACAGTGGACCTGGAAGTGAAGTGCCAGCCTGACAATGCAGGTGTGGTTCTAGGAGTGGGATGCTTGTGTTGGCACAAGGCCTCTTGGCCTCTCTGTTGCCTCCAGACCTGTTTGTAAGAGATATACGTGATGTGTGCGTTGCCAGGGCCATGTGCCAGCCGCCAGTATTTAAACACGAGTTCAGCTATATAGGGAATCCTGGTCTTATATACTTGCCTAAATGTACCATATGGTGTTGCCAGTGGTGGGGACAACAGCGTGGGTGACTGGTGTGGCTGCAGAAGGACAGTGCATGGTCACTGCTGTCTCTTAGACTGTTGCCATCATGACCAAGCCCTTCCTTACGCGGTGGTATGGCAGAAGTGAATGGTTTGAAGCTTCCTTTTGCCTTCTTCAGAGACTCTGTTATTCCTTCTGCAGCTTCTCCCTCCTTCATGAAGAGTGTCTTCAGTCCTATCTTGTTGCTCAGCCTTATCACCATGTGTGTCACTCAGCTGCGGCTCATCTTCTACATGGGAGCCATGAACACCATCCTTGAGTTTCTGTCTGGAGATAAAGATCAAGGTAAGGTTAACCCGAAAACATCGATCTGCTTCCTTGGAAGTGGGACCTGACCTGGACTTGGTCCTTACAAGAGGCCAGCAAGCCTGATTACTCAGCAGATACACCGTGTATAGCCATTAGTGGTGTCAGAGTGCGGCTGACAGCTGCTGGTAGGGTCTAGTGGAGGGCGGGAACTAGCCCAGGACAGCGGGGCAGGGAGGTAGACACTTGAATGTCAAGCTAATTTTAGCCCTGTGCCTGTTAAAACACTATTCCATGTTATTTCCCCAGATGGGCTGTTGAAAGCAGCCTCTGGGGCTGCACTGTGATAATTGTTTTCATGGGAAAGCCTATTTCATCAGGTGTTTGCCTTGGTTATCCCAAGCAAGCACAAAGGACGGCGCAGCTGACTCCAGTGACTAATGGTTGGACTTAGAGGTGTCTCAACCAGCAGCTGCAGGGGGGGGAGAAGTGAAGTCAGGGCTGTTTTGTGCAGCTTGTTGTGTGCTGGGGAGGCTCAGGGGCACTCATTGCCCTGGCCTTGTATTTATAGCTCTGAGTACATGGAGCAAACGGGAAGGAATACATTAGCTTGCTGTTGTTGAAAATACCCAGGATTGCAAAACAGGACTTAGCCTTTCCCCCCCACACCCCGTGTGTGTGTGTGTGTGTGTGTGTCCTTTGTAGTAAGATCCAGTTTGGACTTGTTAAATCTGGATTGCATGAAGCTGATAAATCAAGAGGCACGCCTCTGGAAAGAGGAGGGAGCTCTGGGGGAGGGATGGAAACTGGGAAACTCCAAGTGGCTTGGCATTCCCTGAATCGCTTTGGTTCTTGAGCCTTTGACAGCCTGCAGCATTCAGCTCTTTATCTCCTGGCTCAAGAGCTCACTGAGACATGAAACAGTAAACAGGACAAACTCCACGCTGCCTGCCTTGCCCAACACTGCTTCGGTTTCTGCTTACCTTGTAACTCTTCCACCCGGATTCTTTCCTTTTTCCCCTGGCTTGCTTTAGTTATTTCTCTTTCATTCCCCCCCTCTCCTTCCCTCCTTGGTATTTTCGACTTACATATGTGCTGCCAATTCTCTTTAGGTCAAGTTCCCATGTTAATAAAGGGATTGTCCCTTGGGTGTCTTGCATTTTCTCTGTGCCACCTTTAAGATTTCTTCCCGTTTTCCCCTCTCCTCCCCCTGCATTAGCCTGGGCTCACAGTGCAGTCCAATGTCTTAGTGTTTCCATAGCATCAGCAAAACAGTGGTATTGTCCAGTCGCAGCAGTGTCAGGCTGTGAGAGCAGTTCCAAGGCATGTGGAGCTCTCTGGACTGTGATCTGTGCGGATCAGGAGAGGGTGGGATGCTGCTCCCTTAGCATTCCTTGTTCTTCTTGCAGTTGTTTACTTGAACATGGGTTTGTTTAAAGAGCTCCCTCCACCTGCATCTGCTCTTGGTTGCATTCAGCAAGGGAATGGGAGAGTTGAGTCAATCCTGCAGGTGTGGTGGTCAAAGGAAACGTCAATATTCCTGAGCAGGAGAGAAGGATGTGGGGAAAATCACTCCGAAAGTGAAGTCTTTTAAGCTGCAGCGGGGCACCGTGCCCTTGAAGCAGTTATGGTGACTCAGACCATGTTGAAAACCTAGACATGGACAGAGCAGTCAGCCTGTAAAAACCCCAAGATGGGGGAGAAGCAAAGGAGTTTGGTAGCTCTGCAAGTCATCCTGTAAAAAAGGCAGGCAGGAGAGGATAAACCTGATATCTAGAAGCTGAAATCTGGCTGCATCTTTACTGAATTGTCACCTTGCTTCAAATCTGGTAATACTTGGAGACCTCGGGTTGTATGAGGCGCTTGCTTAAGAGAACTTTGAGGGAAAGACATGTAGAACAGTGGATGTAAAGGGCTGTCTCCCCACGTGTGCACCCTTTGTTTGCTCTAGTCAGGCTTCTACTTCTGGTGGTATCTGCTAGGTATTGTTTGCTTTATTTCTCCTTAGGAAAGGATGGTTTTTAAGATGACAAACAAATTGAGGCGGCTCAGTTTTATAGCAACTACTATCCTCCTTTTTTTTTTGCTGACCCCATAGATTCCATTCCCTGCTTCACATTGGCTTCCGCCCTTGCTGCGTAGAGCCCAAGATGAAGGGCATGAATGGCATGAAGAGGCAAAGCATGACAGCATGGCTTGCTTCTTACCCTCTATTAAAAAATAACCAGACAAGAGCAAACCAGCTCTAGGAGTGCTTGTAGAGGGTGATGCCACCTGCCTCTCCTGGCTACAGCAGTTGCTATAATGAGATGGGGATGTGGGGCCACTTCAGGCCTTGCCTTTGAGGAGGTAATGGGGGCATGAATGTGAGGCTGGAGTTGGAAGTGCCTCTTGGTTCCTTTGCCAGCAACTGGAGCCAGGAAAGTATCATCAGGTGCCCTGCTGGGCTGTGCTGCAGCAGCTTAAGAGAAGGGCTTATTGGAAACTTCTCTCCATTACTGAGATAACTCGGGTATAAATCCTGGCTCCAGTTCTTTGGGTAGGTCTGGAAATGCACTGGGAGGGACACGCTGACATTCTTGGTTGTTTTTCCTCGGCGCTGTAAGCTGGTGAACGCTCTGTGCTGAGGTGGGCAGTTTCGGAGTCCTTTCTCCAGAGCTGTGGTACACCAGTGACTCACCACACTGCTGTGTGATGCCCAAACCCATCACATGGGCTGCGGAGAGGAAGTGGAAACAGTGCTGCAGGGTGGGGAAACTGTTCAGTGACGGAAGGGGATGGTTTCTTCTAAGTCTGCTGGCATCAGCTTTCCCTTAGCAAGCTGTGTAGGTGCTTCTCCCGTCTTTAACACAAGGGGAGTTATCATCAGTTTGAGTTCTTAATGGTGCTGTGGGGATTTTTGCTGCTAATCTCCCCTTCCTCTGCCTCCAGACTTGCCCATTCAGCACCACATGGGTTAGTCCTCACCTCCCTGGCCTGGCTTGTTCTTGCTGGAGCTTCCTGGCTGGAGAAGATGTAACTGCAGCTCCCAGCGAGGCAGGAGAGGGGATGACTAATGCAGGATGTGTTGCTTGTAAGAACTTTCCCTTTTGGTTTGAACCAGCATAAACCTCACTGGCATTAAGCAGTAGCTGCATCCTGTTTCTGGAGCCCTACCTGCTGTTGGGCTGATGCAGGATCACTAGAATGGTTGAAGCAAGTGTGCCTGGTATGTCCACTCTAATGTCATGCTTCTGGGAGCCTATATGATGGAATGGGGCTTTGGTACCTTGTCTCCTTAAGCCCTTGCCTGGTAGTTGGCGAGTAGATTGGGTCTGGGCTCTTAATGAGAGGTGATCTGTAGGGAGGAGCAGTTTCTTTTCTCTTGCTGCTATGGTATCACTTGGACTGACAACTCCCTAAATCTCTCTTCTTTTCCCTGCAGTGGCTCTCTACACTTCCATCTTTGGGGTATTGCAACTGCTGTGCCTGCTGACAGCGCCTGTGATCGGGTACATCATGGACTGGAGGCTGAAAGAGTGCGATGATGGCTCAGAAGAGACCGAGGAGAGCAACGCTGAGCAGTGCGTAGTGTGCGGCACACGGGACACGCAGCCGCGTAGCAGGCCCCCCTCTGCTCTGCATGATGTGTGTGGTGATGAAGGACTGGAAAGGATGTTGGTTCTTCAGGATAGAAAGCGAGCCTGAAGGAAGACTTGATAATTGCAGAGGAAAGGACCAGACTGCCCTCCATGTCCACTGAGATCAGTCAAGAAGAGCAAACGTAACTCATAGCAAGGGGAGGTTCAGACTTTCCTTCTAGCCCAGCAGTAAGACTAACAGCACTGAAATGATTGCCTAGATGTTCCTCAGCTTCCACTGGTGGAGACCCCACCACCTCCTTAGGCAGACCTGTAGCCAAACCCATTTAGATAGAGTTGATGGGATACGTGGAGAATGTTGCTGTGAGTTCCAGTAGCTGCTGAGCGTGCTTTGTGTAACACGGGCTTTGCTGTCCTTCCAGAAGTGACAAGAAAAAGAAGAAGCGTGACCGTCAGATCCAGAAAATCACCAATGCCACCAATGCCTTTGCATTCACAAACGTCCTCCTGGTTGGATTTGGAATCACCTGTCTTATTCCCAACCTACCCCTGCAGGTGAATAGGCCAAACGGATGGGGGTGATGGAGGGGCTGGGGTGTGTGTGTCCTGGCACAGTGACAGGCAGGACAGTGCCACGAGGTCCTGTGAGCCAGCAGACCCAGCTAGAGGCAGGAGGGCTGGGAGACTTCTATACTCCTTGGGGAACCCCAGTGTTAAGAGTTGAACCGTGCAGTTTACATCCCTTGAGGGAACCTAAAGAAGCAGCTGTAGTTAAAATGTCAGAGTTGGCGCTGCATTTATTCACGCTCAAGCTGTGTCACCACAAATACTTCCCTACCAAGATCCTCCCAGCAGTGTGGGTGCATTTAACCAGGGCTCGATACAAGCTGCTCATGGTCAGATAGCTTGCAGAAGCATGACACTGATCTATACAGCAGGTTCTTCCTGCATCGGATGCTGTGCTCAATGGTACCCATGGGGTCATAAACCTGTTTACTTTGTGGCACCATCTGGTTTTGGTGGAGGAGTTCTAGGGATTTGATGTTATCCTTCAATGTGCCTTTATGATGCAGGCAAACAGCCAGTTTGCTCATACCTACATGTTGTCTGCAATAACCTGTGGAAAATTAACTAAACCATCCCCGAGAGCAAGCAGGAGGGATTGTGACACCAGCCATGGGATGCTGGGACATTACAAGTGAGATGGGTCTTGTGTGTGCTTAACCTCAGTGGGCACTGCACCTTGGTCTTTGTCAAGTATGGAAAAGCAGAGCTTTTAGAGAGGAATAGAAACTTCTTGTGTTGATCTTTGAGGTTCCTCGAGCCCACCTTTGTGCTACAAAGAAGAGCTTTTAGGAGTGTTACGCTGGGGTATGGTACAACCAGGTGGGATCTAGGATGTGACATCTTTCTGCTTCTCTTCCCAGATTCTTTCCTTCATTTTGCACACCATTGTGAGAGGATTCATCCACTCGGCTGTGGGAGGCCTCTATGCAGCTGTGTAAGTCTCTGCTTGCCTACAATACATGGCTGGCCAGGTAAACTGGTTTGGGATGATAAGCTGCTCATGTGAGAGGGGGATCAGGATGTGAAGTCTTTGTGGTCAGAGGGCAAAAATGATGCAACTTGTTTCCTCAGTCACCACTGGCTATGATAATAGTTGGACTGAAGTCCCAGCTGATGTTTTCCTTGTTCAGAGACAGCTAATCCCTTTGGCACAGCTACTGCAATGAGACAGGAACAGCTGTAAATGGGCCTTGAGTATGATACTAGGCTGTTGACACTAAGGTTATATAGTAAAAACTCCAAGGCTTTTTTTGTCTTATAATGAGTAGCTACGTGTCTGGGTAAAACATTAACATAATACATTGCTACTGGTCTGCTCTGAAGTAAAGCATTGCTCAAGATCCCATTAGTGATGCCTACTCCCTTTCCCAGGCCATCATCCATCCTGTTTCCAATGCACCAAACTATCAATAGCTGAATCTAAGTACTCTCTTCCTTATGAAGCAATGGTTTGGGGTTTGGGAATAGATCTGCCCCTCTGTCCTGAGGAACAGAAAGAAGCTGTTATCCTTCAGGTATTGTTGAGGTGGGAAGGGACTTCTCGAGACCACTGACTCCAGCCCTCATGTTCAAGCAGGGTCAGCTACAGCACATTGCCCAGGACTGTGTCAGTTGGGTTTTGAATATCTCTGTGGATAGAGGCTCCACAGATTCCTTCTGTCAAGGATTTTAGTCCCGATGTCCAAGAAAACCAGCCTAAATTCTGCTTCAAAAACACGTATGATTTTGGTTCCCTGGCAGCTAGAAGTGTTTTTGTCTTGGGCAAGATAAATGCTTGTTGCTGTATGTATAATCTGGCAATAGTCAAACAGGATCAGTGTAGAAGCAACTCTGGAACTTCCTGGACTGAGGTGTTTTTGCTTTGAGAGTGACCTTTTTGAATATTTCAAGGTTTGGACCCACTTCTTTCTTTCCAAGCTTCGTTTAACCTGACCCTTTTTAAACACTGCTCAGTCACGGATAGAGAAGGATGTTAGGCTGTCCCTGAAATCTGTTTTTCCATGAGCAGTGTCTGATACTCAGCACTTCCTAATCAACAGTGTTGTTTAGTTTGACTTAGGACCAGACTTGTCCTCTAAAAAGGAAAACACCCACCAACCTGTTGTTCAGGTTTCACTCACTTCTACAGGGAGCAAATTGTTATGACCAGATGACAGTGATTGCTCAGCCACAAATGCAATCATCTGGATAAAGAGGCCCTGCTTTTAGCTTGTAAATGTCAACACTCTCGTCCCTTTGCAATAGCAACAGTAGTTGTATAAGCACTTCCACCTGCCTGCAGTACAGCTGGGAAACAAAACAAGTGCTAGATCTGATGCTGCTTGAGCATCGAGTTTGAGAGCTCAGGATCAGAATAGTCTGGAGAGAAAGGCACTGTGCACACCATGGGGTACAGCTACACGCTCCACACAAAGAGGTAGTTATACATAAGTCCAGGGGAGAGAAGTTCTTCATATTATGCATGTCTGGGGTCTGTGTTGTGTTGTGGAGTTGACTGGGAATGTAATCTGACCGAGGTGATGTGAACAGTCAAGGTGACATATAATAATGCTGCTTTCTCTGTTGACAGATACCCCTCTACCCAGTTTGGCAGCTTGACAGGGTTGCAGTCGTTGATCAGTGCCCTCTTCGCCCTTCTGCAGCAGCCTCTTTTCATGGCATTGACAGGACCTTTGGAAGGAGACCCCCTCTGGGCAAGTTCTTCCCAAACTTAACGTCAAAGCTTAGTGTTTAAGATGATTTGGGCTCATTCCGTTGGAAACAAAAGGACTCCTGTGTATGGACCAAGGTTAAAACCAGCTGGAATTTTAGTCTGCTGTTACCTTGGTGCTGTCCAAGAGACTTCCCTGTGTGTGGGTAATGACTCCCTGGGAGGGAAAGCCACTAACCCTTATGCTGGTGGTATAGAAAGGGAGTGAAAAGGCTGCAGGTGTGCTTTGTGCTAACAGTTTGTGTGGCAAGTCAAAACCTGTCAAGTAAAAGCGGGTGAAGCTGTGTGGACCTTAGTGCCATAGAAATACCCTTTCCCTTGTGAGCTATTACCTCTGATTACCAGGAAATTTGGGGTTGCTGATGCTAATGCCTAAAAAGCCAAGGGCTAATGTCTGAAAAGCCAAGGGTAGGGCTAATATTCTTTCTTGATGAAAGCCTGTCTGGGCAGCTCAGTAAAATCATGACATGAGGAGGGTCTTGTAGCCTAGAAACCAGGACTCTCCCCCTGTGCCCACCCCAGTGGGCTGTTGAGGAGTGGACTGTTCTGTGGAGCAAAACCATTGCAGCCATGATCCAGAGCCTCCAACCCTTGCAGCATTTAGCTCCTACCCGTGGTGCTCTGGCCACAGCAGTGCAAATGTAATCCTGTGGAGGTTGTTGTCAATACCCTGAGCAGGGCGGCTCCCAGTTTGCCTGCAGCTGAGTGATGTGGGCTGGGTTCCGACACGGTGGCACGCGTGACTGGGTTGTCTTCACAGCCTGCCTGAGTGTGTTTTGTCTTCCTTCCTTGCAGGTGAATGTCGGCTTGCTTGGTGTGAGCTTCTTGGGTTTCTGCCTTCCAATCTACCTGGTGTGCTACAGGCGCAGGCTAGAGAGGGAAAAAAAGCAGAAGATGGAGGATGCCAAACTCTTCTTCAAAATCAACGGCACTCCCAATGAGGAAGCCTTTGTTTAAACTCTTGCTTCAAATACAACCTCCCCTGTACAGGTTCCTACCACGTCCGTGGGTTCTACCTGTGGTGTAAGCCAGGCTGTTTCTCCCCTGGCTCTGCCAGTCTTTGCCCATCACTGGAGTGAGGGCCGGACCTCATGACTGTGCTTTCCTCAGACACGTGGCAGGAGGAGACTTCCCACTCCTTATTCCAGAACACGGGTCTCTTTCCCTTTTTATAAAGGCCACGCAGATACTGTGTCTTAAACCATCCCCTGATCACACTCTCCAGTGGCAGAGCCTCTGCATAGGAAACTTGGGAGAGAAGGAACAGAGGGATGGGGGAAGAGGGAAGAAAGACCCCAACTTGAGTTTGCAAAGGTAACACACTGAAGTCTGTTTTCTCCTCCTCTTCCCCCAACCTTGGCTGTGACATTGTCTCGGATGCAAGCTGCACGTTCCTCCCTCCCTGAGGCTTCATAGTGGTCTCTCTGCTTGATATGTAGTTGGACCCAGTGGTTTTATTGCCTATCCAGACATACCCTGGACTGGTCCTGAGGCAGGGAAGGGGATTTTATTCCTACGTGTGTGAGCACAGCTTCAGTGTATTGCTAAATGTTGGCTGCTAGCACTGACAGCTCCCAAACCTTTTATTACTGCAAATGACACAGACTTGTGAGCAATGGATCTGCCTTCCACACTGAAGAGCCTAGTGTACTGCTTGGTCCTAGATCAAGCTTTCAAAGGCCTGGAACGACTCCTCTTCCTGGCCCATAAACCACCTGTACGTGTTTTAAACTGTCTGCAGTCCTGGAACCTTTGAGATAGGAATTGGATCTCATTTACTGATGAAGTGCTTTGGGACTTGTTGCCTTTTGCCTCTTCTTCCTTCCACCGTGACCCTGGGAGGGGAGCAGCAGCATGTACTAAAGGTGGAAAAGCTTCTTGAAGCTGAGCTCTGGGGCTCCAAATACCTTGGTGTTCACATGTTGTGAGCTGACTTGCTGTTGAAAAGAACCAACGAGTGCAGAACACTCCTTTGTGTGTGGTAACTGGATCCTGTGGACATATGGGTGATGTGGTGAAGTAATTCTTCCTCCAGCCATAGCTTATTTACACCATTCTGGTAACAGCCCCCAAGCTGCTGAACACCAGGTTACTGCGACTGACCAAAAAGCTGCCGGTTTGGCTGTATTAAGAACCTTCTCCAACGCTGATGCTCTGTCTGGACAGAGTACATGGTGATGGATTGTATGCTGAAGCTGACTTAGAGCAATACGTGTGGGTAAAGGTGCCCCCAGGTCTGTTCACCATGGAGGGAACATAAAGGGAATTTTTAACCTGCTTATTTTTATAGAGGTTTTCCTAAGTCTTGTCTAAATTTGATGTTTCTGCCCTTAACCTTTCTGTTGAGGTTGGTAGCTCAGCCTCTATGGCATTGTGACTAGCATTAACCAGTGCACCATTTGGACCTGCTCGGAGCAGAAAGGTGCAGTGCTGAGGGTGGCTATTGCCAGTGGACATGCAGCACCAAATGCAGTGGGCTGAGCTAATGGCTGTCGGGAGGGTTGGGAGCAGAAACCAAACAGTTCTGAAGATGCAGTGGTGGTGCTTTCTGAACTGCTGACCCCTGTGGTACTGCAAAGCCTGGCAGGGGGTAAATCATTCAACTGCTTTATGTCTGGTTGGGAAAGTCTGAGAGTCAATCACTGCCCTGTTAGTGCTGGGGATTGGAAACAACAGCGCGCTCGGACCTTCCTTTGGGAAATGACCTGGAAACTGGGTGTTAACCCCGTTACAGAAGGCTTGGAGCATGCAGGTGCTCAGCCCAGCCAGGTCCTTCACCCTTCCTACAGAAGGCTGGTGACCTCTTGGGCAGGACGGCTGGAAACCCTGCCAGCAGAGGAGGAGGAGGAGGAGGAGGAGGCAGCTTTTGTGGGGCAGCAGCGCCATCTCCAGCCAGGCTCCTGCGGGCAGCTCAGACGCTTCTCCACCCCGTGGTACCTCTTAGTCTGCAGTCACTCCTTTGGAAATAGCTCACTACTTGAGTATTTTACACGTCTGTGGGTTTGTTTTTTTTTTTTTAATGTGTTGCCTTTATTAAATGTGTTTGTTCCAAGACAGCCTTTCTGCCTGCTGTCAACACTTCACTCTTGTACAACTTCTTGTCTTTTGTTGACCTCTAGCTTTGGTATGAGTTAGCCACTGCCCCAGCTTTCCTATCTTCTGTGTCAAGCAATAATGAAGGAGGCAGAGTCTTGATTCATTTTCCTGCTCACCTGGCATCGTCTCAAGTACACGTTTGGAGACCACCAGCTTGCCTAGATTTCCAGAGGGCTTTCTATGGATTTCTGCATTTCATGTTATATACTCCTAAATATTGTGAAGATTCCAACTTGTGCTCTGATTGTGATATGACAATAATGGGTTAAATGTAACTTATTTATTTCTTTTATCAGTGAGAGCTCAGACAGGTGAGTGTCCTCAGACTGGCAGTGTCTTCAAACAGATGGCTGTTGGTGTGCTGACTCAGCATTACTTCCACCTCACATTCAGAACATCATACGTGGTAGCTTCCACTCTTTGGCCACTTGACTTCCCCATAGAAATATCTCTGCAAAATGGGGGAATAGTGGCATGTTTTCAGGAAGCCACAGGAGAGATGCAGCTAAATTAAACATCACCGTTTTACTTCTGCCATCTACCTCCCTACTGCAGTTCCCAGTTCCTGCCTTCTATGTGGAATAGCTTCTAAGCCAGTTTCATCTGATAAAATGGTGGATGTATGTGCTTAGCACCCCTGCTGATGGCTGTGGTGTTTAGAAGCTGCTGGTCGGCTGTGAGGAATAGAACCTCACTCCTTTTTGAGCTGGAGTTTCAGGCTCTGTTTGCAGATGGTGAGTAAAGTGTGCCTTCAGCTGGCAGTCACTAGGAGTAGTGGGTACACAAGTGGGAAGTTGTGGGATGAGAAGTATTTAGATGAAATATTGGGAAAGAAGCTCTTCCCTGTGAGGGTGCTGAGGCGCTGGCACAGGGTGCCCAGAGAAGCTGTGGCTGCCCCATCCCTGGCAGTGTTCAAGGCCAGGTTGGACACAGGGGCTTGGAGCAAGCTGCTCTAGTGGAAGGTGCCCCTGCCCGTGGCAGGGGGATTGGAACTGGATGAGCTTTAAGGTCCCTTCAACCCAAACTATTCTGTGAGTCTGTTTTCCAACATGGGGCTGGTTAAAAGTGGTCTGATACATCTGTTAACTCAGGGAGACTTTTAGTTGCTGTATATAAGAAAGTTATGCCAAGGAAAAATTCTTTTTCTATGTGCTCTGTCTCTTAAGAATTGGTCAAGGATGGAGAAAATAAATACTGGGCTAGGTGAAAAAGTGGTCTGATGTAGCAGGATTTCATTTACTCTGATAATTGTGAACCAAACTACTTTGAAAGAGCAGTCCCGCATTTATCTATCAAAAACCTGGATCTGTGGGCAGGGTGTGCAAATACTCCACCAACTGTGGCACAACTGCTTAAATACTGTACCTCCTGCAGGGTGGGCCCATTGGAGGATAGAGTATAGTGGCTTCAGCCTCTTCTATATGTTGTTTTGCATGGTGCAGAAGTGAATGCTGTTGGGATAGTCCTGTTACACGTGGTTGTTCATGGGCAGCCTGCCTTGATCTTTGGCCGTTATGGAAGTGTAATTGTGGATTACTGGAATCTGGAGTGGAAAACAGCACTACTGCTTTCTTAGCCAAGTGATGTGGGACCAAGATGATTCCTGATGTGCTTTTCTATGTGGCATGAGCCACCTTGTGGAAAAAAAATTAATGGGCCACCAAAGTGTGATGATGGAAAAGCCCTTGTCTCCTCTGTAGCAGCATCCCCAGCTAGAGGTAATGAAGCAGAGACCTGGTATGTGTGTACTTGCTCACAGAAGGAGCCCTCAGACTCAAGAGTGTTGCTGTGTAAAGGTGATTGCACCTCTGGAAACACTGCTCCTGGCCTCTACAGACTTTAAATGTGTGTAATATGTATCCATACTTACAGGAAATAAACTGAGAATTAAACTGAGTGGGGAAGGGAGGGTGACAGCTTATTCCTTTCACTAATCTGTCAGTACCATTGACACAGTCTTCATAGCAGCGATGCTGTCAAGAGTAGCAGAGAAAATGTGTGCTGTTCTGTTTAATAGGGCACTTACAGCTTTATTCAGTTGCTGACACAGAGTCAGGATTCGTGAGATGAAACTGGACACAGATGTCTGCAAAAACACAAAAGAGGCAAATCTTGCTGAGACTCCAACTTCACTGCAATGCTGCTCCAGGCATTGAATGCTTAACTCCCACAGCAAAGCCTGGCTTCTTCGTGCTCCGTCTACAAAGGAAAACTGTAGGATAACGAGATTTTAACTCAGTAAATCACTACCATGTTTTAAAGTGGGAGATTTCCTTCTTGACAGGCTGCTAATTTGGAAAATATGCCACAACTATAGAGCAGATACTGTAGGGTAAAAAGAATGAAATATTTAAAATGACAAGTGTTGAGGGTTTTGTTTGTTGGGTTGGTTTGGTTTTCTTTGAGTCTTTTCTATTATCTGCAAAGCTTTTGGTGTTCCCCACTTCCCAGTTTAGAAGTGCAAAGTACTCATAATAGAAATACATATTACAGTAGCATTCCTGATGGGAAAGGGGCTGCTTCCTTAAAATAAAAAGCCGCTTCTGATTTATATGTCACCACGTTCTCTTCTGTGGACTGGCTGAAACAATGCCGTGTTACGTAGCTGCATTCTTACCTGTTAATTATAAACCTTACAGGTCCTTGTTTTTCTGCCTGTCTCTGTGCAATCTGTTTTTACCATGTCCTGTGCTCCCTGTTGTCATCCTTCCCGCTGCTGCTTGCCACTTCTCTGTCACTTTTCATTCTTGGGACAATCTCCTTCTAAAGGAAGCCCTCTCTTTTTAACCTGCCAGCTTTAGCCTCTCCCAATGCCTCCTGCTCCCAGGGTTGATGTGCTGTTTGTCAAAGTTGAACTGTAAGCTCCTCGTGGCAGGCTTGTGTCATCCTCTCTGTGTGTGTAAGGTGATGTGCACTCTTGCAGTAATATCTACAAATAAAGGTGGTATTAAGTTAATCACTAGTTTTCCTGTAATAAAGGTATTGCTTGGTTCTTAATGAGGCTATGGAAGCATGAATGCTTTACATGGTGTCATTTGCCCAGTGGCATGAGACATGTTGAGCGTTGCCCTTGACTGGTTCTTCTCAGGTTAGGTGTCAACAGCCAGATGTCAACTAATCTCTCTTAGAAAAGTAATCTCTTAAATATATAGTTAAGTAATACACACAGCAAGTTGGGAAAGAGCTCAAGCTCAGTTCCACAGCGTGAATAGCTATCAAACAGTGAAAGAGGAACAACTCTGTCCCTAGGTGGGAATGCTACAGGAGCGACGCAAGAAAGCATCACCTCAGTTATCCACACTGGATATATGGCATTTTGTTTCCAATCACATAACGAGAAGCCTTGCCCTGTGATTTCAGTAACAAAAGTAATAAAGGTAGGGCTTGTTAGTTGTACTTTATTGAGTGCAGGCCCTGTAAAAGGGGGCTTGCAGTTGTCATGACTAGCTGGGGTTACTCTTAATGCCAACTACAGCTGGGCTGGCTGCTGCCTGGGAGTAGTCATGAAAATGGGTAAGGCCTTGAAAACGCTGCGAGTTGTGATCTGGTGCCAAGGTGGAGCCTTGTTGCTGGGAAGTCTTCATGGAACCATAGAATAGCCTGGGTTGGAAAGGACCTTACCCTCATCTAGTCCAATCCCTGTGTCTTCAACTGGACCGAGTTGCCACATCCAGCCTGGCCTTGAATGGCTCCAGGGATGGTCTGGGCAACCCGTGCCAGTGTTTCACCACCCTCATTGTAAAGCATTTTTTCCTCGCATCCAGCCAGAATCTCTCCTCTTTTAGTTTAAAACCATCACCCCTTGTCAAAAACGCCCTTCTAAAGGCTCTTGCCAGGTTGGACACAGGGGCTTGGATCAAGCTGCTCCAGTGGAAGGTGTCCCTGCCCGTGGCAGGGGTTGGAGCTGGAGGAGCTTTAAGGTCCCTTCAACCCAACCCATTCCACGGCTCTGTAAGATCTCCTCCGTTGAACACCCCCAGCTCCTACCCTCACGGAGAAGCGCTCCGTTTTTACTGCCCTCTGAAGAGACCCATGCCCTTCCCCTAGTGACGACTCCAGAGCTGAACTTACACCCCTCTGCCTGCAGCCCTGCCTCATCCCCTAGCCGTTCCCGTTAATACCTAACTCATTGACCAGCCCTTCGGCACCGAGTGCCTTACCCGTGGCCCCCAACCACCGTGTGCTTTATGGCAGCGGACCCCGCTCCCTCATCCCCCTCCTGAGGTAAACGGCCCCGTCCCGGTGCGGTGCGGTCCGGCCCGCAGGCGCCTGTCACCTCGCAGAGCGGGGCCGGCCCGTGCGGCTCCGCCATGGTGCTCATCAAGGAATAGTGAGTGTGGGGAGCCCCTGCTTCACCCCGGTCCCCTTCACCAACCTCTGCCTATGCCCCCGCTCACCGGGCCTGCCGCGGGGGGGGGGGGGGGCGGCACGGCCTGGCCCTGCGCTGCGGCCGAGCGCCGGGGAGGGAGGCAGGAAAGCGGGGGGGGGGGGGAGCGCTGCGTGAGGGCCGCGGCGCCGGTGCGGGCGGGAGTGAAGGTCACGGCGGGGAAGGGGCCCAGCGGCACCTCTGCTTGGCGAGCACCGGCTCCGGGGCTCCCCCCCTTGCCTCTGCGCATCGCTGCGGCGCCGCTCCGGTGCACGGCCGGGGTCGGGTCGTGCCCCCCGTGGCCTCCCGGCCCTTCGTCCTCCGCAATGAGGGGGGGGGTGTCTCGGTGTTCTTGGGGAGTTGGGGGGGTGCTGGTGGTGCCAAGGGCCTTGCTGGGCTCGTACCGGTGGGATCGGTGCACGGTGGGTGCTGTGCGAGGCAGCGGCATCTTGCCCCCTTCTCCTTGTGACAGGGGGAAGTGGCCAGGCGCGTTTTGACCCCCCTCGTTTCCTTTAGCTGTGTGATTTCTTAACTAGAGCCTCCACTAAGAGTGAATGTGGCAGAAATAAGATAGCTCCAACGTGGCTTCTTTTTTGATGTGGAAGCCTCACCTTGGTGTTC